CATTGCGTGAGGTTGTGTGCCAAAGGCAGATGCGACACGGAAGAGATCCTGAGACAGATTTGCGCCACGGACAGGATTCCTCACACAGCCACGCTGTCACACTATTGCATCCTTTGCCAGAGCTGTTTTGCGGATCGGGCCACAGCCCAGTGGCAGCTGGCCGCGGCGGTCGAGAATAGACGGTGCATACCTGACTGCAGCGCACGAGCCCCGCCCAGAGTACCCCACTCACACGCACACACACTGCCCATTGTGCTTGTTCGCCGCCCCGACACCAGCGAAGTTGGACCAACATCTCGCCAATGTACACGTCCTACCACAGCCGCAACAGCACGTTCTACGTATTGGTGTCGGCGTGGTTGGGATCAATACAGGCGCTGGAGAGCACGCAGCCACCCGAGCGCAAGAAGCAGAACAAGGGCGGCGGGCGAGGATCGGAGGGTCAAGAACGGAAGCTCCTTCTACAACTGGAAGCACGGATGAGAGAACGAGAGACAATCGACATGCACTTCAAAGACCCCACGGGCCACCCTGTTTTGTTGTCGATCAAGGCATCCACAATCAGATACGATGAGTTAGTCAAAGAGGCAAGCGCAGGCCACGAGTACGGATCTCCCCATCTTCACGCCGCCGCCGCGATGTTGACATCATCGGGAGGCACTTCCACTGAGGGCAAGCCAGAAACCATACGTGACATACATTGCATCTTCGCGGCACTCAAGCGATTGGACGAGGCACGGCTGCGAGACCAACCAGCGGACTTGGAGGACTGGTGCGTAACATGCAGAGCGGGAGAAATGCAACAGAAGCAGGGAGTGGCTCCAACGTCGAGTTGTGATTCCACTTCGAGGGGAACTGGCCAGTAGGACTCAACGACGGGCAAGAAGCAGAACTCTCGCAGAACAAACTCCACCCACTAGAGCTGAACACGACAGGCGGCTACACGTGGGTGGACATCAACAGGTTGGTGACGTTGTGCCTCCGTGCGACGGGCATCCAGAAGCTTCCAGGGGAGGCACCCGTGGGCGGGCTCGCATACGGTCTGAGGGCAAAGTGAGAGCGCGGGGGACAGCGGGACAGATGAGAGATGAAGGAGTAGGCACTTCGTCTGTGTTGCTTTTGTTCCTCCTCCTCCTCCTCCTCACCCGCGTCCTCTCGCCTCTGAGTTCCCCTCGCTCGCCTACCTCCGCTACTTAAGTACCAGGTCTTGGGAGGATAGGGTGGAGGCCCTTAGATCCCGAGTCAGATCTAGAGAATTGGCTCACAGCTAGAGCCGACAAGCACCCCCGCGCCGTGGTGCCACTGCTGGCGCTGTGCGCGCCCACAGCAGCGGCACCAGGCCTTGCGTTCCCGTTTCGAGTCCCAGGCCCCCTGGTAGGTTGTAAACCCAGGCTCTGCGGTGCCCGCGAGTAGATAGTTTTTGCTAGCTAATATGGACATCGATGCAGATAGCAGCAGCAGCAGCAGCAGCAGCAGCAGCAGCAGCAGCAGCAGCAGCAGCAGCAGCAGCTCCTCCTCCTCCTCCTCCTCCTCCTCTCCTCCTCCTCCTCCTCCTCCTCCTCCTCCTCTCTCCTCCCTCCTCCTCCTACTCCTCCTCTCCTCCTCCCTCCTTCCTCCTCCTCCTCCTCCTCCTCCTCCTCCTCCTCCTCCTCCTCCTCCTCCTCCTCCTCCTCCTCCTCCTCCTCCTCCTCCTCCACCTTACTTATCACAGGGGGGGGGGCGCTCCAGAGAGGGCCTCGCGCTCGAGGGTCGAGACGGGCCAGCGTCGCTCCGTCGGCGGCAGGCGGCGGAGGGCCAGCGGCTCCGCTCGCGGAGGCGGGCAGGGAGGGAAGGCTGCGCCCCCCGAGAGGCATCGCCTTTCGGGGAGACTTGGACGCCCGAGTTATCCGGGGTAACTCGGGTCCGGGGTAGCGCGGGTTCGGGTTCCCGAAAAACGAACCCGAGTTAGCCCTGACCCGAGTTACCCCTGATGATTCGGGGCTCTGGACGCCCGAGTTATCCGGCGTAACTCGGGTCCGGGGTAACTCGGGTTCGGGTTCCCGAAAAACGAGCCCGTGTTAACCCTGACCCGAGTTACCCCTGATGATTCGGGGCTCTGGGAGACACTCCCGGACCGCTCCCTGGAGAGCTCAGAGGGCGGTCAGGGAAGAAGCCCGCAGGCAGGGCAACGCCAGCATCCTCTCCAAGGCTCCCTGGCAAGCATCCTCGCAGCAGGCTGCTTGAGGTTGCAGCGTGTCCCGAGAGCGTTTTCCGACTCGTTCCCAGCAAGCTTCCCAGACATGCTTTCCAGCGTCCTTACACGCGTCCCCCACAGGCATTTCACGCGCTTTGGTCTGCGCTGCTATCCGGGTTTGGGACGCTACAAGTCGGAGGAGGGAAAGGTACCGCTGCTGCTGCTGCTGCATTTCCTTCTTTTCCGCCTTTTTCTGGCATACTGGGAGGCCCTCGTCGCCACGGATGGATTCGCCTTGAGATTCTGGTCAGAGAGCACCTCAGGCGAGGTCTTGGAGCGGCGGCATCAGTACCCTTTGGTTTCCCCAATACAGGGCTGCAAGAACCCGCCACCTCGTTCTTTGCCCCCCCCCCCCCCCCCCCCCCCCCCCCGAAAAACAGATGTCTGGAAATCCGCTGCCCCGCAGGGGAGCTATCACCTAACCGCGCGACTACGACACAACCACACGCGTGCACCACAGCACGCCTGAGAGAAACGAAACGCCCCGCGATCGGTTGCCACCAGCGGCCACACCTGACACCAGACAGTGCGACCGATCCAGAACCCGCCACCTCTTGCCCGGCCGGGTCCCCCAAAATCGGTGATCGCGGCACCCGTCGTGGCCCCTCCCCCATGTGGAGCCCCACCGTGGCCCCATCGTGCAGGGTCTGCTGCCGCAAGGGTGCCGTACCCCGGCTGCTCCGCCGCGCGGCGAAGCCAAAACCGTAATCGTGCTCATTTCTAACCGTGCTCGTTTCCAACTGTTCCTGGCCCCCTAATGGCCAGGAAGAGGCCCAGGACAGAAGAGTTAGAAGTGACGGGATCTGGGCCCCCCCCAAAAAACATTGAAGAATTAGAAATTAAACATGTGTACAACTGCCCACAAGCCGGGCTCCTGGGCCTTCGGCTGGCTCGGCTCACAGTGGCTGCTTCGCTCTGCACTGCTGCAAGCTGCTCTGTGGTATGGCGTGCCGTGCTGCGCTGTGCTGTGGCATGCTGTGCTCAGCTGCTTCGCCACTGGGCCTCGCCGTGCAATTCTGCCACAAGCTACGCCACACTATGTGGCACTCTGCTGCGATATGCCCCACGTTCTGGAATGCTGTGCCATGCTTCGCTACACTCTGCCGTGCTATAGCAAATTGCCTCCAAGACGCTCCACGGAAAATACATAAACCTGAGGTTTATCGTGATGACTTGCCTCAATCTGATGTTGCTGTCAGGCGACGACCCGAGAGGCCCCAATGTGGCATCAGAACCTCGAGGTGGCCAGAGGCCCCGAGACGTCCCCAAGATCACCCTAGATGACCCAATCAGAACGAAACCAGCCCCAAGGTAGCTCCGAGAAAATCCCAAGATGATCCAACCAGACATCTGGATGCTCAAACTTTTTCGATGCGTGGGCCCCGGAAGTGTGGACCACTTCCCTGGGCCGGTATTTCGTCCTGAGTCGTTTTCTGACGGTCCCGAGGCCCAGCGAGGGCCCCTGGAGGGTGAAAGCGGCCAAAAACCCGCCGCTCCAATTTTTTCGGAGCGTCGGATCTCTGGAACATTGTTTTCGCGGCCTCCGAGAGAGCCTCACCTCTGCCCAACACGGACCCCAAGAAGCCTACAGCGGCCCAAGGGGTTGCCTCCAGGGTCGCCCAGGCTGACCCAAAAAGGTACCATGATTGAAGGGAACACAATCAAATAGACACACAGACCCCAGGATTCCGAAGATGCTCCTAATTGTCTGGACGATTGTCTTCCCCTCTTCACTTCCCACAGTTTCAACAATTCCCTTGGCATGGCCGATTCTCTGTGCCTGCGTGCCTTCCCCCTCCTGAATGATGCCCCCCCCCCGAGGGCCGGGGGGGGGCCCAAGACGGCGCGGCAGAGCACCGACCCGGCACGGCCCCCCCCCCCCCTGGGCGGCCCTCGGGTGCTCCCTCCCCGACGGCCCCGGAGCCGCGAGCCCACACCTCGGGGCGGACGGGCGGCAGAGGGAGGAGGAGGAGGAGGAGGAGGAGGAGGAGGAGGAGGAGGAGGAGGAGGAGGAGGAGGAGGGCGACGGCCTCTCGGTGGGGAGGCGAGGAGGTGCGGTCGGGAACCCTCGCTCGGCGTGCCGCGGCGACGCGCCGTGCCCGGCGGGCGGCCAAGAGTGTCGCTCCGCTCCGCGGGGCGGGAGGTCGGGAAGACGCGAGGCGCTGGCGCCTGGGGGCGTGCACAGAATGGCGTGTCGCACCGAGGGCGCGGTGGGCCCGCACTGATGCCTCTGATCACTCCCCGGCCCTCTCCCGGGGTGCGTTCCGACCGGAATGTCGAGGCGAAGCCGGCCGCGGCGACGAGGGCCTCCCTGGAGGCTCAACAGGGCGAAAACGAAGGAAGGGCAGCGGCATCGTTGCCTTTTCCTCCTCTGACTCGGCCAGCGTCCTGAGCTTCTCGCAACTTGGACACTCGGAGGTCTGGACCCTTTTCCTGCACTGGCCCTTCACCCCGAGTCGTCGTTTTACGGTCCCGGGGCCTAGCCAGGGTCCCCAGAGGCTGAGCCTTGCCCACAAACATCCGTCGCGATTGTTTCAACATGCGAGGACGTCAGGCGAGGGCGATGCCAGGGGGGCCCAGCGCCGATCCGAGAAATCCGCGCGGAGCTCCGAAAGTTGATGCTGATGCCGCTCGATCTTCTTCGCTGAAAGGCGACGTGCTCTCACGATGTGCTTGCTTCGCCGAGGGGCGTGGGGTCCGAGGACAGTGCGAGAACAGCGCGCAGCCCGCGCCCAGCTCATCGCGGGCAGTCCCACGATGCGGCTGC